CCTGAACATTTGCTGAAGTAACAGAAACCAGCGAGCCCTGCAGACCCAGGCACAAGCCTTTTTCAGGGAAGAAAGACAAAGTGTGTGCACACTGGGAAAAGGAAGGAAAAATTACAGCTGTGCTTCCAGTTATTTGTGTTCTGAGGATGCCACACGTTATAAACTCTACTAGAGAGTCTAAAAAACCCACCACATTTAACCAGCACAAAGCTGTAATAACATGCACACCGAACTCAGTGTTTCAAACACGCACCTTGGCTCTTACCCTCACACCATCCCTAACACTTAGGAGCAGCTGTTCCTTCGCCTGTGTACAGCTTCATCCTCGTCATCTTTCACATTTTCCTTTGTCACAACTGCCGGATAGGACTCCGGTGCCAGCAAGTTGCGATCAGTGCCTCTAAACTGTCCATCACATCTTGTCTGAGGTAGAGTCTAAGCTCTCTGGGACAGCTGTAACCTTTTCACAGCTGGCTTCTGCAGTGCCTAGCCTTCCTCTGGTTTCCCACGGCAAATGTGTTCCCAAGAACTACGATACAAGTAAAAATATAGAATTGTTCTGGTTGGAAAAGACCTTTAAGATCACTGAGTCCAACCTAGCACTGCCAAGTCTACTCTAAACCATGTCCCTAAGCACATCAACTTGTCTCTTACATCCCTCCAGGGATGCTGACTCCACCACTTCCCTGGGCAGCCCGTTCCAACACCTAACTGCCCTGTTGGTGAAGAAATTTTTCCTAATATCCAATCTGAACTTCTCCTGGTGCAACTTGAGGTCATTTCCTCACATCCTACAGAAATATGTCATAATGTACCTGCTCAAAAGTTGAGGAAGGCTGGAAATAATGGGTCCATATCCTGGTGCATTGTCATAGAGCTCAAACAGCGGTGCAGCGACCAGCTTGTAATTTTTTGGGACGGCAAACAAAGCTAAAAACAAATATAAGTTGATTAATAAGAAAAGCCACCACACAATCACCCAAGGTATCACTGCCCCACACACCTCAAAACAAGATCATGACATACAGCACCATGGGACCAGGGTAGGTTTACTCCTTTTCTAGTTAAATACAGGGATCGTGTGCTGTACAAACACCGCTGCATGAGCAGGAACGAGCATCTGTTCCGAACTCGTGTTCAGAGATCACCTACCTCCAACGCTGCTATCAGCATTTAACCTTCCTAGTGATCAGCTATAAAGAGCTGCAAGCATACAAACAGAAACTTGCTACCACATTTCCTTGCACAAAATGCATGCATTTAGACACTGTTATAAATACAATCCTTTGTGGCAAAACACTTACCCTTTTCTTGAAGCTGGACCAAGAAAAGCTTTTTGTGCTCTTTTGGTTTTGTAATATGAGCTGGGATATAGGGATACTGGAAGAAAAACAATAAAACTTGGTTTTACAGAGCTATGAAAATATTGTGCAGTCTTAAGTGCTACTTTATAAATAATCAAGCACTGTGCAAACTTTCACCGTCGTATATTGTTCTTTCATGGCATCAAACAATGAAAACCACTTTTCTGAGAAAGTACTCAGAAAGGAATGCTGCTGCTGTCATGACCGTTGACAGGATCCAAAGAGGCACCAGCACTCACGAGCAGTCAAAAGAATTCAACCATAGAGAAATGCGTAACGGCAAACCGAGCAAGTATTTTCAGTATTAAAGCACTTAGAAACATGAGACTATTTCGTTCAGAGGGCATCTGTTCCATATGCAGCAGTGCAGGAGTTTCCACTGCGGAATGGGAATTTAAATGGCATATCTGGCTCCGCAAAGAACTGGAAGCTATTACGTCCAGTGGCTTCTCATCCATCGGAATGGGCGTGAGGAGGGAGAGGGGAGCTTCCAGAAGAAAAAGTCCGTAGTTTCTCCTCAGCCACAGAAAGGAGATGAAATAGGTAAAAAACCAGACAAGTGAATTGCTCATGCAGCAGGTACTGGAAAAGCCCAACTGGCAGGTTGAAGGCTTTTGGAAGAACAATCAATACTAGACTGAAGATGAAAGTCCACATGAGTACTCACCTGTGGAGGCTCAAAGTTTGGTCTCCACCAGTTACCAATGCAGTCATCGATCACCCAGTCTTGCTGAACACCGTCCTGACGACCCAGTATCTACCAAAAATCCACTTACAGTCAAAACTCTGAATACCCCAAGTGATATTTTTTTTTTTTTTAGAAAACATACACTAGAAGCATGAAGACCTGCTGTAATGTGGGTCTGATGTAATTCAGGAACTGCCCTGGAAGAGCTTTTAATGGAATTTTAAAGTATCTTTGTACAGAGTGACTTTTTTTACTAAAAGCCTCACCCAACAGGACAAGGACACTTTGGAGAGCATTTCAAGTTCCATGCTGTATTCAGCTGAACTGAGTCCCGCCAGACCAATGGGAAGAATGAAATGCAACGTTACACTACCCGAGAAAATCAGTTGAGGTTACATAGAGAGCATAGAAGGTTAACTGGTGCACTGGGGAGACTATCTCAAAAAGATAGGAGACTATCCTCATTAGCTGTGCTCCACAACGTATTTTGTTACCCATCTGCACACTCACTGGCCTGAAACCAGCCAAAAAGCAAAGCTGTAAACGAACACAGGGCTTGAGCAGCAGGTCGGGGGTCAGCCACCAGAACACCCTGTCACACTCGTGGTGCAGATCAAGGAAAACCGACCGCTTTGTTGGCTAACTACCCAAGAACATCACAAAAGCATCCAAGTAACAGAAGTGACAAGGAGAGCAATGCATTGTCTTATTCTGTTAATTCTGAAATAATCTCACATTCTGGAATAGCAATGTAAGAAAAGAAAACAGACCTCTGTCATTAAGCGTTTGAGCCCTTCTACCTCATCTTCTCCTGGATTGAGTTCACCACCAGGTCTGTTAAAATAATCAACGATGAAAGCTGAAGTTATGTTTTATAGTATTTACAGACTTTCACAGGTAAGTTGCAATGTGCTTCCCGGCAGGGAGTTACAAATTCAGTCAAGGCCTTTAAATCAGAAGTTCTAAATCTAACTTTGCTGAATTTGAAGACAATAGGATAGCTCTCACCAAACCATGACTAAAATGGCTACTCTACATCCCGTTAAAAAACCAAACAAACCATTACATAAAGTACTTTCACTTCATCAGGACAAAGGGTAACAATATACATTATAATAACTGGGACACTTAAAAGTTGTACCGATAATACAAAAGCACCAGAAGTTGAAGGAAGAATTGCAAATACTGACTATATGTTCTTATCACAAAGCCAGCACTCAGTGACGGACACAGGAAGCAGAAGATAAAACTCAGGTGGGGAACCATCCTGCATTTGATGCAAGGTTAATGAAAAAAAACCCCAAACAACAAAAACATCATCATTAGAGTTTTGAAAAACTTTTAGCCTCTCACCTATTTTGTCCACACACATCCCCCAAATCAAGGTGTCAAAAAAGAATCCAGATGCAAAATTAAGATTTCACACACAGAGAAAATTGAGAACAATATAAGAGCAAGAACACAGGCAGGAGAACTTGGGACAAGTCAAGGCCATCCAGTTTAAGAAAGAACACAAGCACCACCACCATCACTATGACCATATGATCCAAACACTAAAATATCACTCTGGCAGTGATAACCATTAGATGAACGGAAGCAATTTTCTCAAATTCAGATGCCTACCCTGCTTGATGCACCCAGCTCATCCCGTAGCTTGTAAACAGGTATCGTGCTGCATTTACTGGGGTTTAGGCCTTAAGCTTCACTTGACCATTCCTGCAGCCACAGCATAAGCGTATTTCAGCGTAACAACTTTCAGAACCTCACAGCACCCTAACTGCTGATAATGGGTTTTAAACAGGAATCTACCTCAGCGATGCACCGCAACCAAGATGTCCAGTCTGTCCTAAACTGAGTCACCACACTCTAAGCAGCCAGACAAATACGCTTGAGATGAAAAGACACTTACAGCTTGAAGAAAGTTGTACCCAGCTGCAGTAACAGCACGTGGGGCAGCCTGTGCTCATGGACAATCAGAACCCCTTCCACTGTCCGCCTCATGCCAATCTTGTCAAACTCTTCCCTCATGCGCTGAAACCGAGCTGCCACAGAACTGTCCTTCTCATACAGGGGTTCCTTGGTACCAAACGTGTAATTGGTCAGGGGATACCTGTAGGGAGGGGAAAAAAAAATGTTACTGCATAACAACACACCTAAATTTAAATCACAACGACACGCAGCATCCACCCCGAGTCAGAACCTTCTGTGTTTGCAGCGGTAACTTGCTCCTAGCACCGGGACGGAAGTTTCTGTTTGTGACTGATGGGTCCCCATCGCACGAAGATCTGCGCTACGGCACCTACACGTGCAGAAAGTCCTGCTGACCAACACCCTAGTGTGCTGCCAGTGCCAAAGAAGCAGCCCAGAAGAACCAGCAGCAGCTGTAATTCAACAGCCACGTTTCTTTGATCTCCACACCAGAGAGAAAAGGCCGCTGAGGCTCTGAAGCTGGGAATGGGACAGGAGAGAAAAGCTCTGCTGGGAGGATGGAAGCTGCACAGGACAGCGTTTTTTCCTGCAGAATTAAATGAAGAGCCTGAGAACTAAACTGTTAGAAGCGGTTTTGTTTTGAAGTGGAAAATCAGATGTCTGGATCACAGAAGAGGAGAAATGCTGAGTGTCTACGTGCAGGGCCAGGAGCCTGGGACAAGATCAAGAGCTTGAGCAGCTCACTCTGCTGGGCTAGGCGCTGGACCTCTGCTGACACTGCAGTGGAAACTGAGAGATTTCTCCAGGTCAGAAAGACCAGAAGAGTTAGAAAATAAAGGAAAGCTTACGCAAGACGTCGGTCAGTCCTAGAGAGCACAGAGGGCAGCAGGAAATACTGCTGTACAACAAAACCCAAGTAACACAGCATGAGGCCTGGAGGGAAGACAGGATCACGAGGCTAAGTTAAAAAGGGAGAGTAAAATGGGTTGTGGGTAGAGCAGTAATGAGTTGTCACCATGGTTTTACTGATTTGTGGCATACATCAGCAGAATTAACAAAACAAATGACCAATTCCACGGGGAACGCTTTCCTGGAGATGCATTTCATCATGTATTCTTTCCCCAGTAATTAATCACGTCAAACTTCAGTAGTATACACTCTTCCTCCCACTCAAATTTTCCTCATTTTTTATAGTGGAGAAAGCACAAGCTGGCTGCAGTGGTTAGAACTCTCCCTCAGGTACGCCAGCGAGACAAAAGAAGCAGTTTCCTAACTGCAGTTACGTTGATTAGCAAGCTCCCCTCCTCCCTTTCACTTCTAGCTTAGATTCGTTTCCATTTTTAGAGCCACTGATAGCTTTATTAACACCCTACCATGCTGAGCCATACTACAGCATGGTGGGTACATCAGTCTGCACATCAAAACCCTCGGCGTAAAGAAAAATATCATCAGTGATAATAGAGTTTTCTGCAGAGTCTCTCCTTCGGAAACACTATAAAAATAGGCCAAACTAAGGAGTTCCTTCTTACACTTCCACAAGACTCTAACTGTGAATGAATTCAGCTATACAAAAAAAAAAAAAAATCCATACGAGTCTGTGACTGGAGTATCAGTAGTTAACATCTGCTCTTTCCGCAACCTGACAGACGTACTTAGCAAAGAACATCAGTGTTCACTGGAAGAAGCTGAAGCTTCCCATATAAAGTAAGTATTTATTAGACAAGAGTTTGTTTGCATGACAAAAGTAAAGTTTTCTCTGGCAGCAACCACTCGGAATTTAAATTAAAATCCCCGCACCAGAGCACGGCCTACCGACTGCGAGGGCGAGCCCGCATCCCGCCCAGGCCAGCGGCCCGGTTCTCCCTCCGCCGCCGGAGGCACACGCCTAGGACAGCCCATCCCGGAGGGCGTACGATGGCCACCCCCGATCGCTGGCAAGCTTTCGGCACCCACTGCCCTG